TCACAACATGACTGGGACACCATCAAAACATGACCGGGACACCAGCATCACATGACCCGGACGCCATCAAAACATGATCGGGACACCATCACAACATGACCGGGACACCAGCATCACATGACCCGGACGCCATCAAAACATGATCGGACACCATCACAACATGACCGGGACACCATCAAAACATGATCGGGACACCATCACAACATGACCGGGACACCAGCATCACATGACCGGGACACCATCAAAACATGATCGGGACACCATCACAACATGACCGGGACACCATCCGCCCACCAGCTCTGACGGTGACCCGACGGCGCCCGTCCGCCTATTAGTTTTGCAAGACCCCATAGCATGGCTATTGGGGAATTCGGCCATTCCTTTTGAAGTCATGTTCCATCGTGTGGGTAGGCCCAGAAAAAAGTGGCTTGATTCTTCGCTCAATTTTGTTTGGGATATTCTTTGCCCACATATAGACTTTTCCCAATCCAATGAACAGCTGACTTATATCCTACATGCGGCTAGAAACTCTGAATTCTGATGAGTATTTATTGAAAAGCAAGTTCTCACCAGGCCTGACCTGGACTTCGCTACTAATTAGATACTAAATGACTTTGTGTGGTTCTTATTGTCTACTTGCTGCGCAAACTGTACTGAGAGATACTGGCCTTTAGGGGTGCCTACAGGTGTGACAGATTTTTTCCTAGAGCTTTGAGTTAGTGCCGGTTAGTGAGCACACCTTTGGCACCAGAAAGAAAGAAAGGGAGCTTGACAAGCCGCTTAGAGCCTGGCAGTGATCAAGTGATCATGTTGCTTCCACTTTATTCCTTTATTCAAAAAAATGAGCAGAATGAACTCTCCCGACTCAAAAAGTGAGAGAGAGAGAGAGCGCACCTTATTTGTCAAGCAGGATGGACATCGGAACCCTCAAAATAGCATAGACTGACATAGTTTGTGACTACAAACTCTGGCCCAACCGCGGCCTAACCGTAAGTGCTTCAGCTGCACAACACTGCAAACCCGCAAGCAACAAATAGACAGTACGTACTGCAGCACTGCTAGGAATGGGGATACAGGACCCAATTACAAACACATAAAGGAACACACAAAATACACTGCCAAACTTCGCGGCAGCGACACAATCTAGACACAAGAAACAGAAAAGGATCTAGAAACTGGTGAAGTCCCGTTCAGAGCGACACTAGCCAAAATGAGGCCAGAAGAAACAAATAAGATGGAAAAACTTCACTTCAGCTATTTTCTTCGCATTTGGCACAAACATATGCTTTTGACCAATGAAAAGAAATCCGATCCTTCTTCTTTTTTGCTTATAAACATCGAAAAAAACATTTTTTTTCCCAGCCATACCTTGCAATGAAACATCGTCAAGAGAAGCAAGGCGTTGGCGTAGCCAAGGAACCACGGAAGGACATAAAAAAACTCTCGGTTTAAGGCTGCATTATAGATTCGGAAATCATGTTCTACAGATTCGGTGTAATCACCGAGCAAATTCCTTTCATAAGCGGTTTTCTTTGCATAATGCAGCCAGTTTTGCTTAGGACGACCACAGCACCGTTTACCATAGTCCACCCTGTTTGCGGTGTTAGGTTCAAAAAATATACCTGTCTTAAAGGGTCATCCGAGGCTCTAAGCACATGCCCAAGTAACTTGGTCTTCCTGGGGGAAAACAGTTTCTGTACATTTCTGGAATACTGCTTAACGCAACTGGAAGGCGTCGACTTTTTTCATCATGGCCTGTGTGAGATGAACTGTCTCCAAACCATAGATAACTTTGGATTTGATTGCAGCATCGAAGATTAGCAGTTGCCATTTCAAATTTGCATTCGTCGCCTTCCAATATGGCAGTAATCCAAACCAAGTCTTTCTTACTTCTTGCATTTTGTTCAGAATTTCGTGCCAGATATTGGCTTCTCGGTTTATTTCATTTCCTAGGTAAGTGGTCTCAAATCTTTTTTGGGAGCGGTTCCTGGTTGTCGAAATGGACCGAGCCATTTGGATTGCAGCACGCTTATTCTTGTTAAAACAAAGACCATATCTACCAGAAATGACTTCCGTCAGGTGTAATTCATTAATGGCTCTGTTGTCTGTGGAGAACAAAATGGTGTTCCTCACGAGACTTTACACACATGTGATTAGCCTCACAAAGTCACGCTCTCAACAGCTTTTGCACGTGAGACCAGCATGCATCCCTCAAAACAATCGGAAATGTTGGATCTCGGTCTAATGTTCAATTGGACGCTGCTAGGGGCTCCTGGCCGTACTACTAGGAGCAAGGTTCGCTACTACGAACCAAGGGCATCGCTACGAACGGAACAAGGACGCTACCAGAGTGGCTTGAACTCGGACTTCTGAACAACCCACTAGTAACAAGTGCCTTACTAGTAGTAACAAGAAGCTAGTAGAAACAAGTGCATCGCTTCTAGTAACAAGTGCCTTACTAGTAGTAACAAGGTTCGCTAGTAGAAACAAGTGCCACGCTAGTAGTAACAAGTGCCTTACTAGTAGTAACAAGGTTCGCTAGTAGAAACAAGTGCCAGAGTGAGCACTGCTCGGCCAGCTTTGCTTCAAAAACAGCCTAAGGCCAGGAACATCTCCTACTAGTACTGGTAGCAAAAGCATCCAGTATACCTTTAGAGTCGACCAGGCGTCTTGGCTTTACAGAAACTCTTGAACCAATAAAGGATCAACATCCTTACACAAGCTTTGCTGCAAACAATGCATTTAATGATACCCCTACAACTACTGAACGTCACTGGCTATGAACCCTTTTGCTGCATTCTTAGAGATGTGCTTGTGGTGTCATCAGCACTGTCATTGTTTTGCTGTTTTTCAGTTCGGCCACCTCCAACTGGGACATCAACTCGTCAGCAAATCCATAACCTCCAGCCAAACCAGTCACACCGTCACCCGGGAGAAGAAAAATGGTGCCCCAAAAATAGAAACCAGAATGAATAGAGGCAAGGAATATGGAAGTTTTATGCACGTCCCGGCCTCGAACTTCAGGAGGGGTAACAGCTTGCCTCTCCTTCAAATACGTCTACTCGAGTCTACTCTCTATATGTTTCTAGGCTTCAAGAGTGTCATCATTGCCAAGCAGTTGTCTTGCCAAGTCGCTGCTTTACATGCTTCATGGTATTGTGATTTGCGGTCTCGTGCAAATGAACTCTTGCTTGTGGCAAAGCAGCCTCAGAAAAGAACAACCAAGAAGCCTCAATGAGGAAGGAAGGCGAGGATTCTCAAGCATCCGTGAACCAAATCGAAGTACCCCCAACAATCCTTGTTCCCCCCCAATTTGTTTGTTTCAGCTTGCCATACCTGACCCCTGTCCTATTCCAAACCATCAACGTCATGATCTAATTGACTCTCGAATTTGTTTGTTTCACTAAGCCTCCCTAGTAGCGTCTTTGCTCCTAGTAGCGATGTCCTTTGCTCCTAGTAGCGTTCTTGCTCCTAATAGTACGGCCAGGAGCCCCTAGTAGAGTCCTCTTGTTCCACTGAGCCTCCCTGCTGCATGTCGATTATCCGTGTGATTTTCTGCACCAACGTGGAGGTGCACTGGCCCACGGCAGGATGAGACTGCGTCCTGCGGACTTGGTTCTTTGAACCACACTTCGCTGTTCCTTTCCCGGTTGCTTCGTTGTTCTCCCTTTTATCTTGTACAATAACTGGCAGCAACCAAGGTAACAGTACTTCTCAAGGTAACAGCAACCAAGGTATCTAAGTTTAACCAATTCAAGGAAACAGTACTTCTCTGCGAGCCAAAAAAGAATGAAGCGTCCTGCACACGCGATCGGAATTGTTCTCGCACATCTTGCGTCGCAAAACTCGGCCAAGTGTAAGCCTTGCCAACCATTGGCCAGAATGAAGCCAGTGCTTTTGTGCAGAGTTCGTTGGAGGTGATCGCTCTTAGGTTGGAGGCCATTGCTTTTAGTTTGTCATGACCCATCTGCTTGATTCCATGCCCTCGCTTTTGCTTTTCGTAGCTTGACACTCTTTGCCCTCAACAACCCCCTGCGCCATATCCTGTACCATGTGACCATGTCCGTGTTGTTCTTTCGCTCACCTCCTGGTCAAGTCAGCTTGTCCTTTGCCATTCCAACCTTTGCCGACCTTTCATTGAAATAAATACTGTGCCAATCTCAGCAAAATAAGGCGACCCACTGGCAGGGTGGTCTTGAGTACGCCTTCTTGAACAATCAGTTAATTACATTCGTGTATATTATTCTTGCTTGAGCTTATTGGAAGCACTTAAGTTCTACAAATAGAACCACGTGTGGCACAAATAAGATAAGTTATATCTTAAGTAAGATTTCAGCCTTGTTTCATTCAAGAAATGGTCATGCATGGGTAGAACTTCGAGTGGTCGAGCAAAGTGTTCACATTGAAGGTCGCGTTGAATGTGTTGTTGACCAACAGTGTTTCTTAGATGTCGGACCCGTTGGAAAGCGGTGGTGAGCCTTAACTTGTTTAACACGGTTAGCTTTTTTGGTCTGCAGGGCTAATGACAAGCTTGAAATGTTGAGTTCATGTGAAACTACAGGTCGCAGTTGCCGCAGTTGGTGAACTGATGACAAATGCCAACATGAGTCCGGAAGCCTGGCACTATGTTTTGGATTGCCTGAGAGCTGACCCAAACGTTTTTGTAGGTCAAGCACCTGTCAACTCAAGACATGAACTTCCTTGAGGCTCCACATAAACAGTGCCCACGAGAACTCCAATGACACGAGAAGCTCCAGTGGCCCATCGGGAAGGCTAGGAGCGATCGGACGCTACTAGGGGGCGCTCCTGGCCTTACTACTAGGAACAAAGGGACGCTACTAGGAACAAGTGCATCGCTTCTAGTAACAAGTGCCTTACTAGTAGTAACAAGAAGCTACTAGGGGCTCCTGGCCTTACTACTAGGAACAAAGGGATTGGAAGTCCCCATCCCCAGAGCAGGAGCAAGGACGAAGCTATTAGTAGCTCCTGGCATCGCTACTAGGAGCAAAGGGATGTAGTGGCCCATCGGGAAGGCAGACCTTTGCGGGTCGTTGACCTTCGTTTATGTGAACAACTCATGTGCTTGTCAGAGACCAAGATTAGGTATGACACCAAAAAGCTTAAGCATGTCACGTTGAACGCTACGTTATAAGAAAAACACCCACACACATGTTGCTCTGCCTTGGTTTCTTTGTATCAGGCACGTTGCAAAGCCGTTGCCTGCCTACTAATGGTTTGGGATCACTTAACTTTGGGTGATTGTCATTGTAGGCTGTCTAAAGTACACTCTTCAAGAACCGAGAAAATAGGCCATGCCAAGAGAATTGAACTGTCCGTGCTTGTCAATGGGCAGTCGGCTCAATTCCTGTCAGGCATGCAACTCTGCATATCTGCCAGGCAGATTGTGCACAATCACACCTCCAATGGATTGTTCCATGATCCTGATGGTGAGGTGGCCGGGTTGTCTCTCACGGTTGATGGGACCGCATGCATGACTTAATTGTCGACCATAGTTTCACCATGTTTCACCTGTGTGGGTCTTATCTTGTTTACAATCAGCTTTGTATCAGCTTTGTGTTTTGACACAGGCAAGACGTTTTAAGAACATCGACGTGTCTTTAAAAAAGTCCGAAAAGGTGCAAAGGAAGAAAAAATAAGTGGAAACAAATAATAGGAATGGCCTCCGACCTAATAGCAAAAGGAACCTAAGTGCAATGGCCTCCAACCTAAGAGTGATGGCCTCCCAAAAAGAAGTAACAACAAGCTCCAAAAAGTTGCAAAATAAGCCAATGTCGGCGCCAGAAAGAACACCACTAGGCTCCTCAGTCACAACTTTACTATACAGTGAGCATTGAGCACGGGAATCAAAACTACATAAAATGCACGTTGTACGATTGGCTCTTTGGCCCTTCAGCTCTACAGAAGTACTGCAGGCCCATGATGGTGCGCCTGCCGCAGTTTGCTTTGTCAACCGCCGGTTCTAGGTAAGTTGTCCTTTGCCGACCTTCCCTTTCCATCGTCCTTTCGCAGTCCAACCGGAACATGCTTTGCGACCTTCCCAATTAGGGACTCCTGGAACAGTTTTCGCCGACCTTCTCAAAAGACATGTGCGGGAGTCTAGCCAGAACAGCTTTCCTCGCCGAAATAGTGAAACCGGCGGGGAAGGAGCTCATGATCTTGTGATGTCAAAGTGTAAAGTGCAAAGGTTAACATAGTCATAGTCATGCTTCAGAACGTCACAAATTGTGCAGAAATGTTGATATGTTGAATACAAGTATGAGATTGTTGAATGTGTACAATAGGTTAAAAATACTGGCTGGGTTCCCAGCTAAATCCACTTGTGGGCTGAAGGCATGGACGCGGTCAAAGAGATTGGCAAAAAGAAGCGCTGCTGAGCCTCGACACAATGCGTGCAAAACATGACGCTTTCGTAAACATGAACCACTTATATAAAGCGATTAAAGAACTTTGATGTGGCTGTTTTCTTATTTTTGTAGGCCAGGGGAGTAGTAGGTAGGAGCTGTAGCTACTAAGTAGGTAATAGCTATTGTAGCTACACAGCATCGTGGACGAGAATACCGTTGAGGTCTACATTGCTCGATGTGATCGGCCTCCCATAGATCCACCCCAAGCAAAGACTTTTCGGTATCTGGAGGTGATGTCAGAGATCTTCTCCTCAAAGTACCTGGGCAGAAAAAGGCCTCAACAGCTTTAAGCGGCCTAAAAAGGCTAGTAGGTTGGAGGCCATCGCTGGTAGCTTTAGGTAGCTAACTAGGCGGCTTCAAAACGCCACGGATGGCCACGGAGGGCGATGTTGACAGGGGTAGCGTCCTTGCTCCTAGTAGCGATGCCAGGAGCCCCTAGTAGCGTCTTTGCTCCTAGGGCACTGAAGTCCCTTCCAATTGCCAGAGGGATCTTGCAAAAACCAGGCATTGGCTGGATCGCAAATGTATAAAGCGTCCACTGGCAACAAGGAGTCTCTCAAAGCGCGAACTTCTGCTTGACCCTGTGCCACCGGTGCCCCCTGAGCTGAGAAAGTCACCACCAGAAGCTCTTGGAGCGTTTCTTTTCTTTTGCCACCAAGCAGTAGATCCCAATGCAAATCGATGGTGGTCAATGCTTCGGTCAGAACTTGGTCTTCTGGCGAAATGCCCGAGTTCCAAGCGAGACCATAACTCGCTTGTAAGCTTTGGAAGTCGAGACACTGTAAAGGAAGCTGGTTGCAACCCAAGCCAACGATCTTCAATCGGGGCAAAGAGTTCAAGGTTTTGATGATCCGAAGATCCTTTAGCTCATTGCAATGAGCAAAAAGCCAATTCAACTTCTGTAGCTTCTCAAGGGATTTTGGCAGAGACTTGAGTCTGTTGTGATGTAACTCCAAGATGGCCAAGGACTGAAGATCCCCCAACTCCTCTGGAAGTTCTTCAAGATCGTTGCCATGGAGCCATAGTTGTTGAAGAAAAGGACAGAAACTGCTGATTTTGCCCGGTACTTCACGCAGTCGATTCCCTGCAAGGCTTAAGTCCCTCAAGTTCCTCAAGCCTTCCAGGAAGCAAAGGCTTGAAGAAATCTGATTGTGAGCCAAATCCAACAAGCGCAAAGACTCGAAGATAGTTGTACTGAAGCTAGGAAGCCTCAAGGGTGAATCTCCTTCAGCATTGTTGGCCCAAAAAATGGTGTTCAAATTCGATCGAGTTGTATCTGTCGCAAGTCTTGGGAAGGAGGAAGAAGAACTTGAAGCAGCTCGGCCACGCAAGATAGAGAGCTTTGGTGCAAAGAGCTCCATGGAGAAGAAGGAGTTCTCCAGCGAATTCTCTTCAAGGTTCTTGAGCTCGCTCGGCTCGCAGATCTCTTGTTCATCCAAGCCGAGCTGAAGCAATCTTCGAGAAATGGCGTAGATGACTCTGGGCAGCCTTTCAAATCTATTCCTCTCCAAACAAAGCACTTGGAGCTTAGAGAGATTTGAGTAGGTCTGGGGCAAATCACTCAAGGCGTTGCTGGTCAAGTAGAGTTCACGTAGTTTCAGCAAATTGCCCAAGGTACTTGGGAGCTCACAAATCGCGTTTCTTCGCAGCTTCAGCACTTCGAGCTGCTCTAAATTGCCAAGGGTGCTGAGCCATATGATGCTTTCAACACGCTTTCCGAGGCCTTGGTCATCCAAGTTAAGAGTTCTCAATGTCATCGTGACATTGGCAAAGCTGACCGCGCTGACTGCGCCAACGCACTGGGAGTTTCCTCCCAGGGTGGCCAAGCCTGCAGCTTCTACCCATGAAATCGCCCTCATGAACGATTCATGCCTTCGTTGAAAGTCCGCGACCCATCGAACTGCTTCTCCTCCCTCTCCTGCTTTCGATGCCCGGATCAGCTTTCCCAAGGCTACAGCCGTATCTGGACTATCAGCACCATAAGCGTCTTCACAAGCAGCCAGCAGCGACCTCGTCGTTGCAACGAGCTCCTCCAACCCCAATTGCGTACCGATTTCTGCCTCCAATGCAAGCGCAACGACCAATGCACTGCCAGATGCACCCTCAACGGCCTTCCTACAAATGTCCAGTGCCTCTTTCAAACGTGCAGCCTTCGCTTCTTCATCACTTGTTTCGACTGAAGCGAGAAGCTGCTTGGCTTGGCTGAGATGATAAGAACGCCGAGCCTCGGCGTCCTGAAGCATGGACTCCAGGTCCTCCTCCTCGTCACCACCACCAGCAGAGCGGTGGAGAAAGCTAGCAGCCTGAAGGACCGTCGGCTCGTCGTAGAAAATGCTGAAGGGAAGGCTTATGCCAGAAGCTTGGCACAAGTTGCTGTGGAGGGACATTGAAGACATGGAGTCCAAGCCTAACTGCACCTCAGCAACGGAAGAAACGTGAAGAAACACGAAGGAACCAACACAAAACAAAGACTTGAATGAAAAATAGAATTGATATGAATTGATGTCTTGCTATCTGCTTTCGAATTGTTGAAAAACATCACGAGACAACAAATGTTCAGCCAAAGGACGAAACTATCTCCAAGCTTGGCTTCACATCCCAAGATCTTCCGTACCGCAGCCTGTATGATTTCGATGCATCCTGCCACAGATGTCGTATTGAGGCTTGCTACCAGGTTGCCTGTGCCACCTGAGAGTTGAGAGAACAAATCAACTCCCTCAACTCCCTCTTTCATCGGATTTCAATGGTTTGAACACCGGCAACTACTCTTGAGAATTCTTGTTTTCAATGTGGTTCTTGATCGCTAGTAGGTTGGAGGCCATCGCAAGTAGGAGGCCGTCCGTTTTTGTTTGTCAAAAAAACAATCGTTTTGGCCTGTCAATGGCTGAAAGCGAGGATGGCCACCGTCCAGTCCAATCATCAAAACATTGAAGCGAGGCTGGGCAAATTGAAAGGCCGCCTCCAAGGCAAGTAGACCCTGCTGTGGCGAAAGCAGATGCAGACCAGCTGAGGGAGCTGCGTCGGCTAATGTCGGATATTTCTCAGTGATTCCAATGGAATCCCAGGCTGACAGGGCCACACATCGAATGTCCATCTTGGAAGAGTGCGTCGTTGATGAGTGCATCGCAGAGTGGCAACTGCAAAAAGCTTCCAATGCTCGAGCACCTGCTGTGTAGCTGGCCAGTTGAGGTGCTCCGTTGATGCTGACAGCCGTGGAGGTGAAGAGCACTTTCGGGAGCTTCCCACGTGCTCGGTGTTTACTAATCTCACCAAGGACCTCCACAAAGTTCTCCGCACCTTGTGAGACACGATTCCAAACTTACTAGCGGCCTCCAAAGCGGGATTGAAATCGAAAACGGTTTTGGTCGAAAGGTCTCACTCTTGGACGTCTGCCACCCGAATCACAGAAACCGCCGGCGGCTCAGCCACCGGCTTCGCTTGCGGTTGACAGCACCCAAGACGTGGGTTTCAACGGTGGTTTCAACGTTCACCCGGTTGCTTCAACACAGCACATGGTTGCCCAAACCAACTCGTCATCTTTCACGTTAGCAAAACTGTCGACCACGCTTCCGACGCTTCCTACTTTCTAAAAGGCTTGACCTAAGCTGCTTACCAGAACACTTCAAAATGGTGCAGTACCATGGGTCTGAATATGGCTTGAACACCCACGGTTCAGAAGCTAACGCAAAGCCGGGCGCCTTGCAACTTCAATTTGGGCAAGTCCATAGCTGTTGCATCCAGGCTGATGAAGGGTCGAGGTGCTTGGAAGGATTCGCAGAAATTGGCCGCGAAGTCAATGCGCGTGGCACTGGGACAGTTTCGCAGGGCTTGCTGTAGCTGGCGTTTCTGTGAGATATCCACTGGGAGGTAGGAAATCTCTGAATTCTCGTGAAGTCTCAGCAGATTCTGGACCTTTGGAGCACTTGGTGGTGATCGTCCAAGAAAGATGATGGACCGTGCATTGAGATGCTTGGCCCAGATTGTGCCAACACCACCTGTCCCACCTGCCGACAAAACGCAGTCCACCAGCCCCGAGCGTGGAGGGACCACGGAGGTCGCCTGTCTCAAGCGCCTCACCAGCCGGGCACCTTCAGCGTCGAGCAAGACCTCGCCGCTTGGTGCATGCGCCTTCAGCTCCAAGGCAATGGCGGCAGCAGCGGACGGCACCAGGCCGGGGGCCACATCCAGCTGTGAGGCCTGAAGCCATGGGAATTCCTGCTGAGCGCTCTGAAGAACTCCCGAAAGAAAGGACTTGCGAGGATCGCAAAGGCCTCCCGCCACACGGACGTGTCGCTTCTGAGAGACGCACAAAACTCGAAGTTGACTCGACTTGTTTCGACTTCGATGTGCATCTTCGACTCCTTGAGCTGAGTCCTCCACCGAGTGGTTTTTCCTCACAGGGAAATTGGCGATGCACCCAACAAACCGAGAAAGCCGCACTAGCAAAAAGTCCTAGGAGCGATAGGACGCTACGAACGGGGCTCCTGACCTTACTACTAGGAGCGATCGGACGCGTCTTACTTGTATGTCTAGGTGTGGCGACCCTAGGATGGTCGGTCCTCTCCCATGCTTGGAGTAGATGGATCAGGCAACTGACTGCTTCTACGTCGTCAAAGCAATTGAGGAGGTGGACCACTGTGAGTTGCTCGAACACTTCACGAGCTACTACAGCCAAGGCTTCTGTGGGGGTCACCTCTCTTACAGTCATGGTCTGGCTGAGTTCGCTTTTTAGGGTAGAGACCACAGACTGAGACAGCTGGCTTGGAGGGGCATGAGGGACAATGACCAGCAAGATTCGCTGATGTTCCACAGCTTCGGCTTCCATAGCTCCTTCCATCCTCTCCTCGAGCGCATCCTCATCCTCATCTTCCTCAAGTGCGGCAACATGCTTGAAGTCCTCCTCAAAGATCCAATCGCTGGGCAACGGACTCGGCTCTTTGGAGTCCAACGTTCCTTTCTCTTTTAGAACCTCTTTAGCCAAGTCCTCATCTCTCCATTCAGAGCTCTCGTTCGATTCATCCAGCAGTCTTTTTCTCTGGATGAGCTTCTGAAAGAACTCCCGGCATGGCAAACCGTCAAATCTTCGACTGAAATTCGAGGCGGGTATTGCTATGATGCGGTGGGCATGTATGCCCAACGTAAGGGCCAAATGTCCTGCAAGAGACTTCAAGAGACTTCCTTGAGAAGACAAAGATCCATTGGTCGGAACGAAGAAAATCACCAAAGATCCGGTGGCACAAGCCACTGATGAGCCTGATACGACTTCAGGAGACTGTTCCGTTGCTGCTTCCACTTCGGTAGAGGTGTACTCTACGCCGGACATCTGCAACCGTTCCTCAAAGCTGCGCAAGAAGCTTCCGCACAAAGCTCCGGAAGCGCGGGCCCATCCGTCCTAGAGAGGGGAGGCGATGGCTAGTAACTTGGAGGCCATGGCTAGGACAGCTCCTTTGCTCCTAGTAGCGGGATTGCTCCTAGTAGTACGGCCAGGAGCCCCTAGTGGCGTCCTTGCTCCCAGTAGCGATGCCCGTTGCTCCTAGTAGCGTTTGTCTGAAAGAAAAGGAATCTGAAAGGAAGGTCTTGACTTTAGTTTGCTTTTAGGTTGGAGTCCATCGCTTGTAGGGTGGAGGCCATCGCAAGTAGGTTGGAGGCAAGCGGGTGCCCATCCCTTCTTGCAGTCCTCCGAATCCGTCGTCAAACCAGGTAAGGCTGCCAATCCTCTCGCCCACATGGCTTCCCTCTCGCAAAGCTCTACTCCAAGCAAAGGGCTCCAAAGCAAATTCTTCTCAGTGCCATGTGCCAAGCTACAACCCCAAGGTGCTACTAGAAGTCGTTGAAAACATCCAACCTTCCCAGTGTCACCGCCATCAAAAAGTCTCAAATCCTCCGTTGACCAATCGTCTCTGCTGCTAAGCAACACCCACCTTGCAGATGGCAAGGATGATGACAACACAGATGCAGGGCCAGCCCGCCGATAAAAAATCAGTGGGGCAGCCACCAAAAGATCTGCAGCTTTGGCATGACGAGCCAAGAAACCCAAGAGTTTCTGAGGTGAGAATTGTCCGTTGTGCCCATGGCGTGTAGATACATGGATCTCGTTCGCTGAGTGACAAACCGCGGCACAATGCATGAGCAATGTGAAAGGCAAGGTGATGGGCAGCCAGCTCAATGAAGTTATCTTGGCTGCGTCAAAAAAGGATCTGAGTGCCACGCAGTTTGCCCAAACTATTTCATGTGAATAGTTCCATACGAACAGATCTGAGATATTGCCATCTGCACTCTCTGGACATGTGACGTGTTGACTGTCAGTCGACACTCCAGAGACCACATGGAAGGCATACTTCCGTACATGTGGAGGAGGCTGTTTGAGGCTGGATGAATCTGACAAGCACAACAGGTCCACGGCATTGAAGCATTTGGATAGTTCCGCAGTTCTGGAAGTTCCCTTGCACAGAAGCACTGGAGAACCCAAAGCTCTGCAAGCTTTCTTCATCACGTGAAGTTCATGTCCAATCTCTGGGGATATAAAGCAAGGGCACAGGCCCGCACACAAGCAGCCCCAAAAGCACAGGACCACATCGCTGCGTGGCAGGTTGGGATCCAATAGAATCCTCAAGGGGTGGCGGGTGTTCTTTTGTGTCCAACTACGTTCTCGCAGCTTGCGAACTAGAACAATACCCTAGTCTTGCTGTTGCTTGTGCTTAAGCTTAAACAGCCCAATCCGAAAGAAAAGACGAACACACTGGAGGAAATGGCGAAGTGGGTAAGACCGGATCAATCATTGATGTGTTGTGAACCTGCTGGCGCTGGCCTCCAACCTAGTTGTGTTGAGTTGTGCTTTGATGTGCTTGGAATCTGTGGGTCGGCATTCGAATGATGGTAAGTGCCGGTGAGCCGGTTTCCTCGATCGGGTGAGGTCATCTCAGGGTGAGAACCCTGATTTTGGTGAACACCAAGAGCTGTACCAAGAGCTACTAGGAACAAGTGCATCGCTACTAGTAACAAGTGCCTTACTAGTAGTAACAAGAAGCTACTAGGAACAAGGGCATTACTACTAGGAGCAAAGGACGCTACTAGGAACAAGTGCATCGTTGATTTCGATGTCCCCGGCACTGGGGTCCAATGGGACCGAAGTATGTCATCGCTAGTAGGGTGGAGGCCATAGTCTTTTTGGGTTCAGCGCCAACTTGGCGATGTGTAGTGATGTGAATGGTGATCATCCACGTATCCGTGAGGTGTTTGTGAAAAAGACTGCCAGTGATGTAACATGATGTAACTGTTTGTGTTGTCAATTCCTCACGATCTGAGTGTCTGTGGGAGACGCTTTCGTAACATGACTGTTCGCGATCTGGATGTTTGGTGATGTGAATGTTAATCTTAAGAGTGTCCAGAGCCTAAATTCGTTCAAAGCCGGGAAACAGATTTTAGCTGCTACCCTGACCCTACACCCACTATATAAGTAGAACAAAACACCGCCCATCACAACTCAACAACTCTCCCACCTTTGTGGTGCCAAAGATGCTTGCAACCGTGCACCCAGCTGCCTGGCAAATTGGAAGAGCTGCGAATATGTCACGAACCTCAAGCTCCTTCCATCCTGCGCCGCAAACAAATTCGCCCAGCATGCCAGTGCGAGGCATGTGCTCATTGTTATTAATTGTTCATTGATCTATGATGATCTATGCCATATGTAATATGTGTCAATCCTGGCAAACATAGGAACAAGAACATACGCGTGTGCTACATTTAAAAAACATCTGTAGCAAATAGCAATGGTATTCTGTTCAACTCGCAAACTGCCTTTGAATGATTACAATGTGGGTGCGGTGGGTCGAGGCAATGCGTAACAGAAGACACAGTACAGGAACAGCCTAAATAAAACAAAAGAACATGTGTGAAAGCTGTGCGTGGGCCAGACCTCCTATCGAAGACACACATGCAAAAAAAGAAAAACGTCATGAGGACCAGCACGGAACACCATGACGATCATGTCGTGTTATCCCAGTTGGAGGATCGCTAGTAAGTTGGAGGCCATCGCTATTATTAGGTTGGAGGCCATCGCTCTTAGCTTGGAGGCCATGGTTCTTAGGTTGGAGGCCATCGCTAGTACGTTGGAGGCCATCCCTCTGAGGTTGGAGGCCATCGCTCTTAGGTTGGAGGCCATCCCTAGTAGGTTGGAGCCATCGCTCTTAGGTTGGAGGCCATCGCTACTATTTACTTTGTGGCTGCACAAAGTGACCCTCCCGAACCCGTCTGATTAAACCTGTATTATTCTTTACCCATCTAACTCTCCCAGAAACCCATCACGATCTTCACAAATTACATTGATTATCTGTCCCAAAGGAGACTGGACTGGAATGCAGCATCAAACAAGTGCCTTACTAGTAGTAACAAGGTTCGCTACTAGGAACAAGTGCATCGCTTCTAGTAACAAGTGCCTTACTAGTAGTAACAAGAGAATGCATCATCATTTGAGTCCGGTGTGAGGCGCAATTCCCAAGTGCCTCATGTTGATCATAGATGCTCAAACTCCCCTGTGCAGCTTCCAGCAGCTTCGGCAAGAAGGACGCTTTCCCACTCAATCGGCCACCAGATACGTAAGCTGACATGGGAGATCAGAACGTGTCGAGAGCAGAATCGCCAACTGGATTGTGTTGCTTCTTGTTACTAATAGTAAAGTAGCATCCTTGCTCCTAGTAGCGATGCCCTTTGTTACTTGTAACTTGTATTTTGTGAAACACGGTGCTCGCTTTTTCTTGAGCTCAATACAGTCGAATAGGCCGGTTGTGAAGGGAGTCTAATTCCATTCCACGTGCAAAAGGAAACACACCAGGTTTGGACGTGACAAGAACATCACCGCAAGTCGCAAATCTGTCCCAAGCTCATCACAAATGCCCTAGGTGTAGAATGTCAGAATGCCATTCCGTGTGCTACCTATTATACTGATCTAGTTCTTTTGAGCAAAAAGAAGACTTGGGTCTTGGATAGCTCAGCATTCAATTACAGCTACTAGCGTAGAATTGCAAAGGCACCAATTGGGGATGCTGGGGATTGCTCCTAGTAGCAAGGCCAGGAGCCCCGAACGTAGCGTCCTTGCTCCTAGTAGCGATGCCCTTTGCTCCTGCTCTGGGGATGGGGACTTCCAATCCTTTTCACTCTGACTGCACGGTGAAACAGCGAGCCATTGCACTGCGGTGAGGTTTCAAAACGCGCTTCGCGTCTTCACCAGGTCCGCATCCAGCTAAGAGCAACATCCTGTTACCAAAGACCTAAGGCCCTCAGCTATTAGTAGCTTCTTGCTACTAGGAGTAGTGCCAGGAGCTACTAATAGCTTCTAGTAGCGATGCACCTTGCTAATAGTAGCTTCTTGCTACTAATAGCGATGGCCTCCAACCTAAGACCTAAGGCCTACTAGTGTTCCTTGCCAAACGGTTTGTTGGAGAATGGAGAATATCTGTGTTAATGATTGACAAAATACATGTTCATACCCCGCTTCACAAAAGCTGTACATCCCTTGGTGTTGCTTCCTTTAGCTCTGTGGACTGGCACTCACCAATGAAAAAATGGCTCCTTGGACAATGGTACACAGTGTCGCTGTGTCTCTGGTCATAAAGTGATCCAGAGGACCTAGTGATTCAATTGGCCAAGCTGCAGTAGTAGCATCCTTGCTCCTAGTAGTAAGGCCAGTAGTTCAATATACAATATCAACTATGTTCTAGCATGATCCTAGCAGTGTTGTCTTTTTCGTGTCTTGAGAAAGCCTTCTTGATTCCTGAGACACAAAGGAATTAGGCTCGAGCGACTTGCAAATGACTGAAGAGGCTCTGAGCACTCTTACGGCACGGCCCTCAGTCTTCGAGTTCAAAATGCAGGAGATCTGAAAGCTCATCCTGCGGTGTTTGATTCAGTTCCTCCACCACAGCCTGTGCATAGTATGCCAATTCGGCCGCAGCGTCCTTATGGCCTTGCACCACTTCCAAGAATTTCTCGGGCTTCAAACATAACAAGGTGCTGCCTGAACTGGCCTCGCATGGTCGGCCATCGCTGTTTCGATTCGTCGTTTAATTTAGTTTAGTTCTAATTCTAATTCTAAGTTAATACCTTAGAGGATCCAACTAGTAGCTTCTTGTTACTACTAGTAAGGCACTTGTTACTAGAAGCGTAGTTTCTTGTTACTAGTAGTAAGAATGCTAGTAGTAATGCCCTTTGTTTCTAGAAGCGATGCCCTTGCTCCTAGCAAAAAAGTGTTCCTGAATTCGGGCCTCAGCCTTCCCGTGATAAGTCCAACTGGTCCACAAACAAAGCTCACACATCCAGTCTCCAGCTGTCAAACGCATTGGGGTCTTCGACAAGACAGACTGCTGATGATGCACCATGGACATTTTCCGCACCAGTGAAGGCATTACCGGGAAAAGTGCATCATTGGATTCCTGTTCTGGACCTCCAGGAACTCCTCCAGGAACTCCTCCACCTTTCTTTGAGGCAGCACCAAGCGCCGTTTCCTTCTTCGAGCGCCTTGAGAACGACTCATCGGTTTCCAAATCCATGATCGAGTCGTACTTCACAGCTCCATGGGCAACAAAGATCATCTGCTCACAACTGCGTCCAGCAGAGAACAAGACTTCACCCGGAACCACATACCAATCGTCCATACAACGAGTACAAAGGTTATAGTGAAATCCCGGATGTCTCCCGGACAGGGCCTGAAACTGACAGTGTTGTGCAAGTAGTAACAAGTGCATCGCTACTAGTAACAAGCGCCTTACTAGTAGTAACAAGTGCCTTACTAGTAGTAACAATAAGCTATTAGAATTAAACTAAGATTAAAATAAATAACTAATAGCTTCTTGTTACTACTAGCAAGGCACTTGTTACTAGAAGCGAGGCACTTGTTCCTAGTAGCTTCTTGTTAATATGAAAGAAGAAGGTCTAACGAAAACAAAGAAACACAAACGAGTACGAAATCCATGTCTGGACGCCTGAAACAGCTGATGGTGTTGCACAATGGGACTAAAGGCCTCTCGACAAAGTTCACCAAATAGATATTCGGGCAAGACCGCTTTCATCTCCTTCTTACCTGGCTAGCGCACCCTCAAAGCGCTGAGCTGCAAATATCTCTGTACCTGAAAAAATGGCCAAGCATTCGTATATATCCGATACTACTCCGCTGCGGTGAGTAGCCTTGACTAGCAAATACAAGAAAAGTTGTCCTGGAAGCACACGTCTACCAAAATCGCGAATTGACAGCAACATTTTCAGCCGGGGACAGCCAACAAATTCCCTGCGAACGCTCTTGCGACCATCGCTTTTAGGTTGGAGGCTATCGCTCTTAGGTTGGAGGCCATCCCTCTTAGGTTGGAGGCCATCCATCCCTCTTAGTTTGGAGGCCAATGCTCTTAGGTTGGAGGCCATCGCTCTTAGGTTGGAGGCCATCGCTCTTAGGTTGGAGGCCATCACTGTTAGGTTGGAGGCCATCGCTCTTAGGTTGGAGTCACAGAAGGAGTCGACACTACCGAACGGCTACCCCATCCTCCACACGACTCCTTTCTAGACTCGAGACTCCATGTGCGGCAGGTACAAACACCGTAAAGCAAGGGATAGTGAATAGGAATCCATCAGTCAGTTGAGTCACTAGATACTGGGACTATTTAAAACGTTAGAATGTTAAGTTTCCCTAAAATTCTAGGAACCAAATCATTAGTGCGAGCGCTTCCTGCATCCGAAGTAGTAGCTACTTGAAGGTACTACAATAGCTACCTCTCCCTTACTGACTTAATCGCGCCTACTTAATTAAGTAGGGAGGAGGGGGAGCGGGCTCAATAAACAAATAGCCCCATCGCCTTGTCCTGCAGGTCGTAGCCAATCGAAAAGTTCCAGGAGAAATCCAGAACTTGAAACTCCGCCTCTTTGTTCTCCCTCCGGACTCGACGAATATCTGACATGTCATTGGTGACGATAGAAGTGATAATGGCCCCAAAGAGCATCATCGAAGCAGTACCAAACATTGCTAAGAAGCGCTCAGCCCTGGTCTTGAGTTGCATGTTTTCAGGAAGATGTGAGGGGGGTAGCCTTGAAATTGCCCACTCAAAGCTCCGGATGTACTGCTGAAGCCAAGTTTCACCTTCGAATCCTTGCTCCTCATGCACCCAGCCCTCTGGGAAATTACCGATAAAGAACCAAGCACAGGTCACAGCATGAAGAAACATGCCGCCCAAGACCATCAACCACATTCCATTCCAGCAAGCTCTAAACTCTCGGCTACGGTGACGTAGCCACTCCCTCACTTGGCCGGCCATACCAGTGATGCGGTACCAATGAGGCACCTGAAGTACCCGGCCCAATTGGAGGATCCTGAGCCACACTTGCACGCTTGAATAAGTCCCAATTGAAAGCAAATCCACGTAGGTTGGAGCCAACAATGCCAGATCCACAAACGTCTGTGTCAAGAATAGCCACCAAACAGTGGCTTTGGAGCGAGCTAAGAAGCAACTGATGGGAAGATTGAAGGTCCAAAAGATCGCGGCCAAGATCTCCAAAGACCAAAAACTGAAATCTGTTCCAAACGGCATCAAAGGAACCGCGATGCAATCACGTGCGATGAGGAAGACGGCTATCCCAGCCCAAATTCGTCGAAAGCGATCCATCCTTGTTGAAAGCGATCCGCGTCCATTCTCTGAACTGTAGAAAGTCGGTTGAAAGGTCTTCACGAAGAAAGAACCGTTCATCATGTCCCACCCTTCTCGCACTTCAAAGCGACGATCATCTGGAGAGCTAGACACCTTGCAGCGAGTGCTCATTCCAGTGATGGTGCGATCTCGTTTCCGACCTCCACCTGGAGCAACGTCATGTTTCATTGTGTTTATTGAAAAAAATACTATCTTGTGAGTGTCCAATAGCAATGGCCTCCAACCTAATACAGTAGCAAAGGCCTAGTAGTGAAGGGAGAAAAGGGACCCTAACAGGCCCCATGAGGTCTTTCTTCTGAACGATCTTTTCTTGTGAACCTTTCTTATCCTTTTTTCTTGTCCTCTTGATTTACGACTAAATATATCCCACATAAAAAGAGTTTCTTATACATATATTAGGAACAAGTGCCACGCTAGTAGTAACAGGTGCCTTACTAGTAGTACAAGAAACTATTACTTTAGTTTAGTTTAATTCTAATAGCTTTTTGTTATTACTAAGGCACTTGTTATTACTAGCGTGGCACCTGTTACTACTAGCTTTTTCCCATCTTTTCACCCTTTCCGACCTCGGGCATTCTGTGAGGGCACAGATAGAACTGAAAGACCCGCTGTGCTGACACGACGTGTCTGTCCCCGGAGCCCTTCGCCCCTCTCACTGGAGGGGACATGCTCCGACACTGCTTGTTCTGCAGATCGGTGGGAAGCGCCAGACTTGACACTTCGACATTGCATCACTGCGTGAGTTTCCAAGTCTGGACTTTCTGTTTCCTTCACCAGCTCTGGTGGCTCTTCAACAGGAGCCAGCACTTTGGGCAGAGAAAAGAGAGAATCGACATTTGGTTCCGAGTTGTCTGAGAAGGCGTTTGGACTCGGCGGATGGGCTAAAAACCCTTCGACCCCTTGATGTTCAAGAAGCTTCTCGATCAAGCACCGGATCTGCCCAACACAATGCTCAAGTGCTTCATGTTTTCCTGACCTTTCAATGACTGAGTCAGAAGGATCTTCAGACAACTGAAGCACCATTGGGCCGACCATGACTGGTCAACACGGTAAAAGAAAAATCGAAAAGGAACGAACGAAACTGAAAAAGTCTGCATGTTTTGCACAGCTCATGAGTTCATATTGCTATTCGATTGCTATCTGATTGCCTATCTGTGCTTTGGTGCTTGGGCCTCAACTTGCAGTCAAACCGTGTGGATCAGTTTTCTGATGCTTATACTCCCGTTACATGGAAAAAAAGTTGAAAAAGAACAGCAGAAAAAGGACAGGTCTCAAGTGGTCTCAAAGAAGGATGTAATGACAGAAATGCATTGTGTACCTACGTTAATTAAATGAACGCAAAGTTGTATCCAACAGATAGCCTGAGATTCAGCGATGGCCTCATCAATTTTTTTACCGGATGTGTCACGCCGCAGCGTCACAATGCGTCTCAAAGCATCGCGCTTCTCTCGGATTGCAACCTCGCATGACTCGACGTTAAACTTGTGTCTTGGCAAACGCCTCTCTTGTCCAACAAAAGACCAAAATATCAGCACGTAACACTATGCCCGGTACTACTTGTCATTTGTTCTTCCTTATTGATGTTGTCCTTGATTGATGGTCTTTTTGCTTAATAAGAAGTGAACTTAGGCAGCTTTCTAGGGAAGCAGAGCTCAGGTCTTCACGAAGTACTTCAATTTAGGGATGTTATAAACCCATCTTTCCCTTCCCTCCTTTCTTGCCTCAACAAGAACACATTGTATCACTACTTGTATCACAAGTTGTATCATCTTTCGTACCTGGTGCAAATATGCCAAGCTACCACGAATTCATGGTCGAGGCCGAAGAGAGCCTCTAAGGCTTCAGTGGAGGCTTCGTAAACGGAGCAGACCTGCGACGCAGTGTCCAACGCAGTGTCCTTCGCTGCACCTGCAGGGCAAGGCACCCGCGAGGCAGACAATGCACCAAGAGAAACACAAAATAGGCGACTTTGTAAAAACACAGTGGGGGTAGGAACAAGAAGCTATTACAGTAGGAACAAGCGCATCGCTTCTAGTAACAAGTGCCTTACTAGTAGTAACAAGAAGCTACTAGGGGCTCCTGGTCTTACTAGGAACAAGAAGCTTTCTACGGGGGGTAGGCCGCATTTTTGAGGTAGGTAGCTAGTAGTAGCAAACGGAAGTCGCTAGTACCTTACTACGACGCTACTAGTATGGATGCAGGATAGCTCACGCTTCTTAGGGAAACTTAACTAATGGGAATGGCCTCCAACCTAATAATAGCATATAATAGCGATGGCCAAACAGGACTTGTCTGATGAATTCGTTGAGAATTTGGAGTCTTCATTTCGCTTTGTTGCACTCTGTTGGCTTCCTTCACTGGGAATCAAGAATCAAGATGCTACGGCAAGGGCATAAGAAACAATGTCCTACTACTCGCATTTGTCACAAAACAAACATGCTGCAGCTACGTGTATTTCTGTGGCCGGTCTTTTTGCCACTCATGACTGGAACCCACAAGTACCTGCAAAAGGCCTTGGGGGAATGCCAGTGACCGACCCCTCGATTCAACGTATGAACGGCTTCGAAAAGGGAGACCTTTCTGGTCGATGGAATTTCAGGACTTGCGAAGAAAAGAAGGGTGTTCTTTCAAGTTGAGAAGTTGAAAAGTTTAGAAAAATCACTCAGCAAGTCACTCAGCATCACAATATCATCTGAAAACTCGAGTCGAAAAAATGTCGACTCTCGGTGTTCGAATCCATGGCACGCTGGCCATCGCTAGGTTGGAGGCCGTTTTTTTGCGTCGACACTAGGAGCAAGAAGCTACTAGGAGCTCCTGGCATCGCTACTAGGAGCATTCTTACTACTAGTAACACAGAAGCTACTAGTAACAAGGGCATCGCTACTAGGAGCAAGGACGCTACTAGTAACAAAAACGTGAGCGTGTCAACACGAGACCCGTTGTCGCCTGCGCCTCGGTCGAAAGACACCGAGTCCGGTCCAACGGCAAAGCCCGCGAGGCGCAGCTCCAGGTCACCCTGACGAGGTGAAAAGATACACTTGTTTCTATTAGCTTCTTGTTACTACTAGTAAGGCACTTGTTACTAGAAGCGATGCACTTGTTCCTAGTAGCTTCTTGTTACTACTAGTAAGGCACTTGTTACTAGAAGCGATGCACTTGTTCCTAATAGCTTTATGTTACGTGTTGTTTGTCTTTGTTCTTTTCTATTCTGTTTCTTTAAAGGTTTTTTGAGCTTTTTCTTTAGACTCTTAAACTCTTTTGGGCCTTTTCGTTCTCTACTTTTCGTGGACCTTTCTTAATTTCTGTTCTTTATTCTTTTGATTTTTTCTCATCTTGCGTTTCATGACCTGGAATGGGACGAGCTAGGACGTTCTACCAGATTGTCGCCCTGACGAGCCTGGGTCTCCAAAGACCATGCCTGCAGCGCACTGAAACCTGGATACACCTGGCACCAAGCTGCTTCTTTAGCTACTTGCTACTACTAGCATCCTTGTTACTACTAGTAAGGCACTTGTTACTAGAAGCGATGCACTTGTTACTAATAGCATCTTTGCTCCTAATAGTAAGGCCAGGAGCCCCTAGTAGCTTCTTGTTCCTAGTAGCGATGCCCTTTGCTCCTAGTAGCGTTCTTGTTCCTAGTAGCGATGGCCTCCAACCTACCCGCGATGGCATTCCTGTGATTTCTTTGCCCGCTAGTAGGCGCCGGCTTAATTAAGGGAGTAAGCTCGCTACTGGACGCAGGATAGCTCATGCTTCCTTGAAGAAGCACACAAACACAAATTGACAAGAATCATGCAATGCCAATCTCCCAAAAGACAGGGTTCGAAGTCGGCTATCTAGAATCTAGGACGAGTGCGACTAGGACTGCCCCTACGACTGCGATTGTGACTGAGTGCTACTAGTCAGCAACATGAACTACTAGGAACAAGGACGCTACTAGGGGCTCCTGGCCTTACTACTAGGAACAAGGACGCTACTAGGGGCTCCTGGCATCGCTACTAGGAGCAAGGACGCTAATGAGTTGTAAAATTGGCGCTACTAGGAACAAGGCTTTATTTTGCAACATGAAGGATTCATATTCTTAAATCCGCATCGCCTCTGCGGTGAAGTTGGCGCACCGCTTCGCAAAAGACAAGGCTGAGGCTGCATCACCTGCTGCCTGACGTCAATAGAAGCTTGAAGAAGCTCACTCAAGCTACTAGCAATGGCCTCCAACCTAAAGAAACTCAGTCAATCTGCCTTTAGAAGTGCCATAATGTGTGACAAGCTCCTGCAATGCCACTCGCAAAGTGCAACAACAGAGCACCTCGTAGAAAGCCACAAGATGCCTGATGCAGAGACTGCAACACATCACGTTTGCTTTGGTCAACAGGTATGGATACCCTCAGTCCGTCCAGAATGGCACAGCTCTACTCCGGATTTGGCACAGGCGTCTTCATTCTGCTAGCATTTTATAGCTCGTTCTAAAGAAGGGGGTTCTCCAACGACTGTCTGGAAGAATGCCTTCGTCTTTTTTCGGTTTCAACTTGTACCAGCCTTTAGACGGGTCTTTTGCTTTGGACCTTGAAGAACAGGTTCTAAATTCTCTCACCCCACCTGGCCACGCGATCTCGAAGCCAATGCTTCTCAGAGAAGAGCTGAGCCATGTTCTCCTCCAGGCGTTCAGCAATGTCCTCCAAGAGCTGACAAGGTGGCCCTAGTAGCTAGAAGCTACTAGTAGCTAGACCATCGCTATTAGGTTGGAGGCCATCGCTACTAGTAACAAGAAGCTACTAGTCTTTGTCTGTGTCTTTTTGCGCCTCTACTACTTAATCAAGCAGGTGCCCACTCAATGAACTAATTCTACTAGCTACCGGGCGCAGGATAGCTCACGCTTCTTCAAGGAACTTCCTTTGGCAAAAACACGGTTTCACATGTTTTCACTATTCATTTGGCTGATTTATGCTGATGTCAATTCCCCGAGGCAGGAGTGCCACAAAATCTTACAGCAAGCATTCTTCGCAAATAGAACGCAAAAACCAACAGATCAAAAAATGTTTCCTACAAATCTACCTTTGTTGTAAGAAGGCGTGAGCAGGGCTGGCCTCTTGTGTAAGTTCTCCTACCGTCGTCCTGAACCTGATTCCTTCAATCCGGGAGTGATAGCGTCCTTGCTCCTAGTAGCAATGCCAGGAGCCCCTAGTAGCGTCCTTGCTCCTAGTAGTAAGGCCAGGAGCCCCTAGTAGCTTCTTGCTCCTAGTAGCGTATGTCTCAAGACTGTTTCTTGGAGCAGGGCGTGATTGGTTTGAAGAATGCACACGGGGTCTGAAAGGGTCCCTTCATAACGACAAGTTGTTTGCATCTAGTAGACAACATTTGATTAAAGAAACCATAGAATTTAAACACCCTTGTGAGTCATAGAGCTAAAACTCCGCTATGCATTGGCAGAACACCGAGAATTAATGTTACAAAGAATAAGAAACATGAAGTAAATACATTCTCGCCAAAGGGTCAATGACCGAGGTGCATGGTCCATTCCACCTAGCCCGTTCAGTCGTAGCCTCTGTCAAGTAGGCAGCTGCACTTCCTTCTTTTCTGTCCCACTGCTGAATATACCTCAACAACAAAAAAAGACCATCCTAGGAGCAAGGACGCTACTAGGGGCGCTCCTGGCCTTACTACTAGTAACAAAGGGCACCGCTACTTGGAGCGTTCGGACGCTGTGTCACAACATGTCACACGGTGTCCATTCTCTCTCTAAAAGCTGCCGGGGGATGGACCCTTTCTGGTTTAAAAAGAGAAGCTCCCTTGAATCCAATTGTTGAAATGTACGAAGCGGTCTAAGTCATATTGCACTAAACGTCTGTTGAGCAGTGGCTTTGGAAGCAATTAGTAGATTAGGTTGGAGGCCATCGCTTTCAATCTAAATTCAATTAGTAGATGCCATCGCAAATCTGCCAAGGCACTCTTCCACTTTAGCCTCTTGCGCCACTAGCTCTTCGGCTTGCGACGAAGTGGCTAAGAAGCCGCACTGCCGGCAAGCGCCCTCCGTTGATGGCCTCTCAAAGAACGGAAAATCAAGCAAAACTGCAGAACGACGCCACCCAACTTCACCACTCCACAAAGGAAGACATGAAGAACAGTCAAAAAAAACAAAAAACGGTTGAAATACATGTCTTTAAACACATGTCAAAGGGATGAAAAACATGTCTTTGAAAACATGTCCACCTCAAAGAACGGTCTAAAGACAAGGGGGAAACAATCTAAATCAAACAAACGGGAAGAAGAAATGGGCCTTTAAAAATAACATGTCTAAAGAAAGAAACCCTTCTAGTAGCTTCTTGTTGCTAGTAGCGATGCCAGGAGCCCCTAGTAGCGTCCTTGCTCCTAGAGAAAAACCCATAAAGAGCATGTGTTTCTACGCCACAAACCTCAAATGTGCCCTGAACACGGTCAGCGCCGCGAGCGCCTGATCCGGTCATCAAATTCAAAGAAAATCTCCCCTTCCTGGCAGCCTGCCGACAGACTTCGGGAGGCCGCTAGTAGGTTCGAGGCCACTAGTAACAAGAAACTAGTAGGGTTCATGTAAAATCTGCAAACTGCCGTACCCCAGCCTTTAGACAAAGAGCCACAGTAAACCGGAAGAGTGCCCAGATGTTTGTTCAATCAAAACAACTGTGCTTGCTTGGTTGCCTAAGCATTTGAAGCCGCGGACTGGATCCAAACTTGAAGAGCAGCTGCTGCAATTGCAAATAAAGTGCTTCGTGGCCTGCAAAGCTCAACTTCTTGTGATGTGTATGATAACATGAAAGGACAAAACAGCACGTTGAACATACCCAAGTCGTTCCTTAAGTAAATCACTCACATCTGACATCTGTTCACACTCCACTCCTCCAGCTGAGAGCGCCGACTGGTGATGGATTCCAACAAGGACTCCTCGGCCAAGTAGGACCTCCGAAAGCACGCAGGAAAACAATTGAGTGCAAAGACACCTAATAGCAATGGCCTCCACCCTGGTAGCGACGGTCTCCAACCTACTAGCAATGGCCTCCCACCATCTCCAACCTACTAGTAATGGCCTCCAACCTAATAGCAGGGTCAATAAGGAAGCATGTTTGTCTGAAACGGCCAGTTGAAAGCAAGGGCTGTTTGTGCGAGCAGACCGAAGGTCCTTGGAAGTGTTCGTGTAAAAGCCTACGCATGCGTCGACAACCACACATGCTTCAAGAACATGTCTACAAACAAGAACAAGTAGGGAAAAACAAGGGAAGTGGTCCACGGGTCTAGCAAATAGACGAATGTGGGAAAAATGTTTTTCTACAAAAAAGAAGACTACTATGCTCATCTTGGGTCTTGGATTTGACAACATCTTGCTACTACGAACAAAAACACTCTGATTGTTACTAAGGGGAGTGGGCTTATAAAGACTAAAATGTTACTAATTGCAATGAACTAATGAACTATGAACAAGTGCATTACTACTAGTAACAGGAAGCTACTAGTAGCGATGCACCTGCACCTTGTTACTAGTTACTAATAGCGGCCACGGTGACACACCCGGATATTCAATCCTAGCCACACAGTGATCTCCTCGCCCACCGAAATGTCCCGCCTGCAACAAAAACTGTCCCGATGACAACTATCTTGTTAGAGGTAGTCAGAGAACCCCGCACTAGATTATATTGTATGTATCTCACTCGATACCACAGCTAAGCAATCATCCTTAAGTCTCTGTAGCTTTTCAGATAGTAACAAGAACGCCTTTAGGTTGGAGGCCATCGCAAGTAGGTTGGAGGCCATTGTCACGCAAACTTCAGTCCTGGCCCGCAAAATGAAGGAATCGCCCTCGTAGTGCCACATGCAGTTGGGTCTGCAATCATGTGAAATGAAGGCGGGCAAAAAGAAGGTGCTGAAGCCCACCGGTTCCTGTGAGAAGGCACTAGATGTGTTCTGCGTGGTCATCAGAAAAGATCCATAATTATTGCTGTCATCTAAACTCTGGAACAAACTGGCCCTGCCTCACTATGCTCAAAGCAGTTCAAAAGCCACCTGATGAACTTTCGTCGAAAAAGAACAATCGTCGCTTCCTACCAGGCCACAACTTGAGGTTAATTGCAATGGCCTCCAACCTGATAGCAATGGCCTCCAACCTAGGAGCAAGGACAACCTAGAAGCGTCCTTGCTCCTAGTAGCGATGCCCTTTGTTACCAGTAGCTTCTTGTTACTAGTAGCGATGCCAGGAGCTACTAGTAGCGATGCCCTTGCTAGTAGCAATGGCCTCCAAGTTACAAAAAAACGCTGCGAACCTGAACGCTTTCTCGGTCGAGCTGCACAGCCAGAAGACTCTCGAGCTTCAATGGTAACGCCTTCGGCGCCGAAGCCCAGAACTCCTGGACGATGCTCATGGAGTCCTCACGGAGAGTGAAAGGATTAGTGAAAGCTAGTAGTAACAGGTGCCACGCTTCTAGTAACAAGTGCCTTACTAGTAGTAACAAGAAGCTACTAGGAACAAGTGCATCGCTAGTAATAACAAGTGCCTTACTAGTAGTAACAAGAAGCTACTAGTAACAGGTGCCACGCTAGTAATAACAAGTGCCTTACTAGTAATAACAAAAAGCTATTAGAATTAAATTAAACTAAAGTAATAGCTTCTTGTTACTACTAGTAAGGCCAGGAGCCCCGTTCGTAGCGTTCTTGTTACTACTAGTAAGGCACTTGTTACTACTAGTAAGGCACTTGTTCCTAGTAGCGTTCTTGTTACTA